TTCTTTTTCGTTTTTGAGTTATTCGCAAAAGAAATATTAAGGGACCAGCCCTTCAACTCCCTAATGGGGACGTTTAGCAAAAAATGAAAGGTTGCATATTGTTCAGAACATGATTTTGAACATCTTTTGTTCAACATTACTTGTCAAAATATTTCTCACTTTCGAGATACAAAGCATCAAAGATTTAGCCTTCTGGCCCGTTGTAGCCCCTTATTATGTAATGTACGACTTTAAAATCATAATATACAGTTGTAGATAGTTAAAATTAACATTTTTGCTTCACTGATGTATAACAAATTCTTGACTGTTAAAGAGTTATCGAGAAAAGACTTTCAGCCCCTTTTGGCCCCTAATTTGAGTACCCAGCCCCTTTTCTTGGATTTCATTTTAAAGCTTTTAGGATTTTAAACACTTTTTGTTCAACAACTATTCAGAGATTCTTTTTTGTTTTCGAGTTATTTGCAAAAGAAATATTAAGGGGCCAACCCTTAAAATCCCTAATGGGGACGTTTAGCAAAAAATGAAAGCTTGCATATTGTTCAGAACATGATTTTGAACATCTTTTGTTCAATATTACTTGTCAAAATATTTCTCACTTTCGAGATATAAAGCGTCAAAGATCTAGCCTTCTGGCCCCTTATTATGTAATATTCGATATTTAAATCCAATTATGCAGTTGTAGATTGTTAAAATAAACATTTTTGCTTCAGTAATGTATAACAAATTCTTGACTGTTAAAGAGTTATCGAAAAAAGACTTTAAGCCCCTCTTGGCCCCTAATTTGAGTACCCAGCCCCTTTTTCTGGGTTTCATCTTAAAGCTCTTAGGATTTTGAACACTTTTTGTTCAACAACTATTCAGAGATTCTTTTTTGTTTTCGAGTTTTTCGCAAAAGAAATATTAAGGGGCCAACCCTTCAACTCCCTAATGGGGACGTTTAGCAAAAAATGAAAGGTTGCATATTGTTCAGAACATGATTTTGAACATCTTTTGTTCAACATTACTTGTCAAAATATTTCTCACTTTCGAGATATAAAGCGTCAAAGATTTAGCCTTCTGGCCCCTTGTGGCCCCTTATTATGTAATGTACGACTTTAAAATCATAATATATAGTTGTAGATAGTTAAAATTAACATTTTTGCTTCATTGATATATAACAAATTCTTGACGGTTAAAGAGTTATCGAAAAAAGACTTTTAGCCCCTTTTGGCCCCTAATTTGAGTACCCAGCCCCTTTTCCTGGATTTCATTTTAAAGCTTTTAAGATTTTGAATACTTTTTGTTCAACAACTATTCAGAGATTCTTTTTTGTTTTCGAGTTATTTGCAAAAGAAATATTAAGGGGCCAACCCTTCAACTCCCTAATGGGGACGTTTAGCAAAAAATGAAAGGTTGCATATTGTTCAGAACATGATTTTGAACATCTTTTGTTCAATATTACTTGTCAAAATATTTCTCACTTTCGAGATATAAAGCGTCAAAGATCTAGCCTTCTGGCCCCTTGTGGCCCCTTATTATGTAATATACGATATTTAAATCCAATTATGCAGTTGTAGATTGTTAAAATAAACATTTTTGCTTCAGTAATGTATAACAAATTCTTGACTGTTAAAGAGTTATCGAAAAAAGACTTTAAGCCCCTCTTGGCCCCTAATTTGAGTACCCAGCCCCTTTTTCTGGGTTTCATCTTAAAGCTCTTAGGATTTTGAACACTTTTTGTTCAACAACTATTCAGAGATTCTTTTTTGTTTTCGAGTTATTTGCAAAAGAAATATTAAGGGGCCAACCCTTCAACTCCCTAATGGGGACGTTTAGCAAAAAATGAAAGGTTGCATATTGTTCAGAACATGATTTTGAACATCTTTTGTTCAATATTACTTGTCAAAATATTTCTCACTTTCGAGATATAAAGCGTCAAAGATCTAGCCTTCTGGCCCCTTGTGGCCCCTTATTATGTAATATTCGATATTTAAATCCAATTATGCAGTTGTAGATTGTTAAAATAAACATTTTTGCTTCAGTAATGTATAACAAATTCTTGACTGTTAAAGAGTTATCGAAAAAAGACTTTAAGCCCCTCTTGGCCCCTAATTTGAGTACCCAGCCCCTTTTTCTGGGTTTCATCTTAAAGCTCTTAGGATTTTGAACACTTTTTGTTCAACAACTATTCAGAGATTCTTTTTTGTTTTCGAGTTTTTCGCAAAAGAAATATTAAGGGACCAGCCCTTCAACTCCCTAATGGGGACGTTTAGCAAAAAATGAAAGGTTGCATATTGTTCAGAACATGATTTTGAACATCTTTTGTTCAACATTACTTGTCAAAATATTTTTCACTTTCGAGATATAAAGCGTCAAAGATTTAGCCTTCTGGCCCCTTGTGGCCCCTTATTATGTAATGTACGACTTTAAAATCATAATATATAGTTGTAGATAGTTAAAATTAACATTTTTGCTTCACTGATGTATAACAAATTCTTGACTGTTAAAGAGTTATCGAGAAAAGACTTTCAGCCCCTTTTGGCCCCTAATTTGAGTACCCAGCCCCTTTTCTTGGATTTCATTTTAAAGCTTTTAGGATTTTGAACACTTTTTGTTCAACAACTATTCAGAGATTCTTTTTTATTTTCGAGTTATTTGCAAAAGAAATATTAAGGGGCCAACCCTTCAACTCCCTAATGGGGACGTTTAGCAAAAAATGAAAGGTTGCATATTGTTCAGAACATGATTTTGAACATCTTTTGTTCAATATTACTTGTCAAAATATTTCTCACTTTCGAGATATAAAGCGTCAAAGATCTAGCCTTCTGGCCCCTTGTGGCCCCTTATTATGTAATATACGATATTAAAATCCAAATATGCAGTTGTAGATTGTTAAAATAAACATTTTTGCTTCAGTAATGTATAACAAATTCTTGACTGTTAAAGAGTTATCGAAAAAAGACTTTAAGCCCCTCTTGGCCCCTAATTTGAGTACCCAGCCCCTTTTTCTGGGTTTCATCTTAAAGCTCTTAGGATTTTGAACACTTTTTGTTCAACAACTATTCAGAGATTCTTTTTTGTTTTCGAGTTTTTCGCAAAAGAAATATTAAGGGGCCAACCCTTCAACTCCCTAATGGGGACGTTTAGCAAAAAATGAAAGGTTGCATATTGTTCAGAACATGATTTTGAACATCTTTTGTTCAACATTACTTGTCAAAATATTTCTCACTTTCGAGATATAAAGCGTCAAAGATTTAGCCTTCTGGCCCCTTGTGGCCCCTTATTATGTAACGTACGACTTGAAAATTATAATAGACAGTTGTAGATATATAAAATAAACATTTTTGCTTCATTAATGTATAACAAATTCTTGACTGTTAAAGAGTTATCTAAAAAAGACTTTAAGTCCATTTTGGCCCCTAATTTGAGTACCCAGCCCCTTTTCTTGGATTTCATTTTAAAGCTTTTAAGATTTTGAATACTTTTTGTTCAACAACTATTCAGAGATTCTTTTTTGTTTTCGAGTTATTTGCAAAACAAATATTAAGGGGCCAACCCTTCAACTCCCTAATGGGGACGTTTAGCAAAAAATGAAAGGTTGCATATTGTTCAGAACATGATTTTGAACATCTTTTGTTCAATATTACTTGTCAAAATATTTCTCACTTTCGAGATATAAAGCGTCAAAGATTTATCATTCTGGCCCCTTGTGACCCCTAATTATGTACCATACTATATTAAAATCATAATATACAGTTGTAGATTGTTGAGATAAACATTTTTGCTTCATTAATGTATAACAAAATATTGACTATAAAATAGTTATCGAAAAAATACTTTTAGCCCCTTTTGGCCCTTAATTTGATGAGTCAGCACTTTTTTTACGAAATCATATGAAAGATCTTGTCATTCTGCACAAATATTGTTCAGTATGTTCTTACAAAATATTTATACTTTAAAAGATATGATGCAAAATGTGTCCAAAATTCACTCGTGATTCGTGTCCTAAATTTTGACCCCTACCGAGCTTCCATACTAGGTACTTCCGGAAACTATCCAAACTCCCAGTAACATGGGGACATGTCCTCTATCATCACTGAAAATTTCAGCGCTCTAGCTCAAGTCGTTTCTGAGATCAATGACGGACAAGAAGGTCCGCTGAATTTTAATAAAAGGGCGATAACTCTAGACCGGAAGTGATTTTTAAAAAATCCAAAAAATGGTATAAACTTCAGATGATCCTGCATCAACCCTGAAAATTTGAAGCAAATCCATCGAGCCATCTCTGAGAAATCTTCTGCACAAAATTTGTGCAGAGAAAAAGAATAATAATAAGAAAATTGAAAAAGAAACATAAGAATAATAGAAGGGTCTTCCGCTGGAGACGGAAGACCCTAATAATAATAATAATAATAATAAAGGTAAAAAAGAAACCGAAGAATAATAGAAGGGTCTTCCGCTGAAGACGGAAGACCCTAATAATAAAGGTAAAAAAGAAACCGAAGAATAATAGAAGGGTCTTCCGCTGAAGACGGAAGACCCTAATAATAGGGAAAAAGAAACCGAACGAAAACAATAAGGTCTTCCTTTGGAAACGGAAGACCTTAATAATAAAAATAGTGGAAAAGAAACCTAAGAATAACAAGAAGGTCTTCCGCTGAAGACGGAAGACCTTAACAAGAAGGTCTTCCGCTGAAGACGGAAGACCTTAATAATAATAATAAAAGTGAAAAAGAAACCTAAGAATAACAAGAAGGTCTTCCGCTGAAGACGGAAGACCTTAATAATCTTAATCATCAGAATCAGTAGAAGGTCTTCCGTTGGAAACGGAAGACCTTAATTATTGGATTATCACAAATCTATGTACGTTTCAGGAGGAGAATAATGTCTTTCCAGTAGGTGAATGGATAGAACAGCATGTACAATGTATCCCTATGTCGTGTATCGAGGAAAGTAAATATCATTTACAATATGTACATTAATTCAAGTTACATGTAAAAAAATTAATAAAAAATCTCTTTAAAGCATTATCTTTCTCCTTTAAAACCTATTAATATATGCTTAGAAAATGTTTTGTATAAACAACCTTAATTACAGAAATTGAATATCATATAAATCTGATGATTATTTGAGGGGGGATGCTCACTCCTCCATGGCACTTGATCCCATCTCTTATGTTTAAGAAATTTGTGCTTGCTCTACTCCTATTTTACTTGTTTGATGGACTTTTGAGCTTGAGTACTGTTCGTTATCAAGATATATTTCATTTTGTTTCCTTCTTTTAATATATATCTATGTTAAACTATTGGTATTTTTTTTTAAAAGGAATTTTGATATATCTTACCTTCTTCATGACTATATAAAAAACCCGTGATTATAGTTCTCAATCCGTCGAAAAATCTTCTGTAAAATTTATTTCTCAAAAGTAAATTTATACTTGAATTCAAAATAGACTTTTGCAAGAAGCACTGGCTTTTATAGTTGACGGTTTACTTGACATTTCAACCTGTATCATGTACAGAGGTACAGAATTGATAATTGATAGGCTAACCTTTCTAGTGGTCAAAGGTAGTGCCCCCTAATGTTGTTAGGGACATAACATGTGAAGGCCGGGAGCTGAGGGTAGTGTGATTGTCGTTTTCTTTAAGGACAACTGATTTATGCTTTGAAAAAAAACATTTATTTTGGCTAAATTAAATGTTGAGCAAAATCTTTTTATCGTAAAAGAGCTTCCGTACATTGCTCTAGTGTAAAAGTTAGCTGTCAACTATAAAGGTCAGCGCTACTCGCAAAAGTCCAATATTACATCTCGATAGAAAAAAGAAAATATTTTGATGAATGGTTTTCGTAGAAATAATAAGCAATATTTCAGTTTAAAACATACAAAAACTTTCATACCCGGTCTCATCTGTTGCATTGGTTGTTAATCCAAAATTTCTTTTCCAAGGAAGGGCACACGTATGTTTTGAATTTGTAACACTTGAGGTGGTATTGTAGAAGACGTTAAAACCGATAATCCATACTAAAGATTTAGAAAAATGTAATCTTGATTTTAAGAAAAACTATCCTTAAGAATAAATATTACTTAATATACAAATCATACAATGTCAAAATACTTTACCGAAGAAGCCAACAAATCGGTTCGATATTGAAATCATTCTTCAAATCTGCATCCACTTTCAAATTCTTCTTCTCGCTGACAAAGTTGATTTGTTTTAAATGCATTTAGTTATTGACACAAATATTTATTAACTTATCCGATATCACATTTTTAAACATTGTATAGGAGGAAGCAAACCCAATTCATTTATGATAAAAAGTCGAGTGGCCTGAATTCCTCACTCAATATTTCCGAATTGCCAAAATGAGGAAAGCGACATTTTTCTATTAATTATAGTTTCAAAACATTCTAGAGGTAAATTTGAATAACACGAAATAATTAAAATATATACTGCCTAAAATTTAATACCTGTAATGTATGTGTATTCCTTAATCGTCTTCTTTTCATACGCAACCCACTGCTTGGTAAACCACTCTTTGTCCCTGATGGTAAACTTAGTAGACAACAACTTAATTCACAATTCTATACTGTAGTGTGAAAGTATAAAATCTATGAAAGAGCCTAAATGGGGTTTATTTAGATCCTTGTGTAGCGATCTTTATGTGAGCGGATCAAGGGATCTGATTTTAATCAGATTGCGTTTATCTTACCTTTGGAAATTTGCAACCAGGAACTTCAATTTTTAGTGCATGCACGTGGACTGCACTGCACAAGCACCAACTTCTGTGACTGTGTAACGGCGTGTTGTCAGAATTGTTCAACATCAAATATGCTTTCAATGGTTTTTATTTTATCTCAGAACTGGAGATAATTCGATCGGAACCTTTTTTATTGAGAAATCCATTGGTGTTTTTGTAATAGGCTTTCGGAAATATCCAATAGATAGGAGACTATGCCAGGGCATCAACAATAGTGGGAAACATGGAATAATTAGCATACCCGGTGAAGCCCGCTATTGTTGATGTTCCTGGCATAGTCTCCTAACTAGACAGTGATTCCTTATATTTTCAATTTTACTTGAAATAACAATCTTTAAAAAAAAAACAGAATACTGTCAAAAGTAGTAGATTTGAAATGCACGAGACCTTCCATTTTATTTAATTGCTCCGCCCCATGCCGTCAAATTTTACTATAAAAAGTGGTCCCATAAAAACACGAAACAAATTTAATGATTGTTCAGTTACAGTAATTAAATATCAACATTTATGAAATAAACAAAAAAAATTTTAAATTATGATCAAAGCAAACTTGTTAACGTTAATTATATATGTGACCTTAATTTAGGTTGTCGGAAGAACAAGCACGTGTGTAGGCCACTTCTCCGCCGCCATATTGAATGCAATGTTGCAGTTGATGAAACAGGAGTTGGTCAGGAAAGCGATTTGTGAGGATGTTACAATAGCTGACTGAGGAAGTTGAGTTGCTTACGAATGTTAAAACAGCAGAGGAAGTTGAGTTGCCTACGAAGTCGGTGGTAATGACTGAGGGATGATGTCTGTATCAGGTAATGGAGCGTGGCTGTGCCAATTTCTCCACGTGCTCCAGATAGGCTGTTTACGGAAGTGGGGTTCCCTAGGCCTCGCTGATAGTTGACAGCGTTGCGCTACCGACTTGCTCCGAAGATAATTCATTACTTATTTTGTTTGTGAAAAGATATATCATATCTAATTACTTAGTAAACAATTAAACAAGACATCTATTTTTATTCTTCAGTGCATTTATACCCATTCATATGCACGCAGGTTGACATTTGACCTTTCAGTAGTATATAGATACAACAGGTATTACCACGATATTAATAAGATGGACTTTTGTAGTATTTATCAAAGAGAAAACAATTGGATATGGAAATATTTTCATATGATTTCCATTTTGTATACCACTGACTTCAGGACAGCATTTATTGAACGGCATCGTATTTATGTTTTTTTGTTTTGTTAATATTGTCCAAAGCCTGATTAATATGTGTCCGGTGCATGAAATTATTGAATTTGTCATTAATTATAAAATTATCAATCAAAAAGCAAACCTTCCATTGAGGTCTTATGATAGAAAGGTATCTTATAGATGTTTATCTTGTGCTCATACTAAATAGTTTTTTTTAATTCTAATAATAAATGCGGCTGATTTGTAAAGATCATTCGGTACTTTAAGGCGCTCATTTAAGTTCCAATTATATTGTCCTAAAATTTGTTGCTATATGTTATGACATCAGGCAATAATTTTGTTTCCATACCTTTATTATTTCGATTTTTGCATACACATTCCTCTTTGACTGAAGTATTTTCCTCCTTGAAACCATTTTGTGTGACACCGTTTGTACAGATCACATTTTGGTTGAAACTGCTGACTGTTTTATATTGCAAATATTGCTTTGTTGATTTTCTGAGCTCACAATGTAGATCATCAATATTCCGATCACCAATTCTATCTACATCTTTAGTCGCATGCGGAAAAATTATTGACGGAATATCTCGTTTTCCTTGCTTTTTTTTACACGAACAATTGGATATGTAACAAACTTCCGATCTCTCTACCAATATGCAAAGAAACATCACACCTTTTTCGTTTTTGTCTAGGACAGTAGAAAGTTTACAGTTGATATCTTTGGAACATTTGTCAAGATGAATTTTCAAACTTTCATCTGAAATGTTAAGAGGGACAAGAAGTTAGATAATTATTGGATTATCACAAATCTATGTACGTTTTAGGGGTAGAATAATGTCTTTCCATTAGCTGAATGGATATGATAGCATAAAACAGCAAGTATAATGTATTCATATGTCGTGTATCGCTGAAAGTAAATATTATTTAAATATTATTTACAATATGTACATTAATTTAACTTTAATAAATACTAATAACAAATCTCTTTAAACATAACTTTTTTTCTTTTCAGACCTATTATTAAATGCTTAGAAAGTGTTTTGCATAAACGACCTTCATTGCAGGGAAATTTTCGCCACGATTTATTTTCGCTCCTTTCGCCCACTCCTTGATTGGGCGAATTTAAAACGGGGCGAATTGAAAATACACCTCATAATTCCTTAAACAGAACTATGACTGGGCGAATTTAAAACGAGGCAAAATTGTTCACAAGTTCAATAGGGCGAAAATAACACGGGGCGAAAATAACCCTGTTATACAGTAAATCTGGTGATGTCACCTGATCCCACCTCTTATGTTTTAGAGATTTAATTGTGCTTGTTCTATTCCTATTTTTATTGTTTGATGGACTTTTGAGCTTAAGTACTGTTCGTTATTTTGATATATTTCATTTTGTTTCTTTCTTTAAATATATATCTATGTCAAACTACTGGTGATTTTTTTTAAAAACCAATTTTAATATATCTTACCTTCTTCATGACTATCTAAAAAACCAGTGATAATATTTCTCAAACCGTCGAAAAGTCTTCTGTAAAATTTATTCATCAAAAGTAAAATTATACTTGCATTCATAATACTACATCTCGATAAAAAATTAAGAAAACTTTTAGATGAATGGCTTTCGTAGACAAAATTAGCGCAATTCCAGTTTAGAACATAACCAACTTTCATACCTGCTCTCATTTGTTGCTTTGCTTGTTAATCCAAAATTTCCTTTCCAAGGAAGGACACACCTATGTTTTGAATTTGTAACACTTGAGGTGGTATTGTAGAAGACAATAAAAACAATCATCCACACTAAAAATTAGAAAAACGTCATCTTGATTTTTTAAAAAAAACTCTCATTTTCTTTTACAACTTTGAAAAAAAAAAATTGACTTAACATACAAATAATACAATGACGGAATAATCTGCCGAAGAAACCAACAAATCTGTTCAATTTTGAAATCATATTTCGAATCTGCATCCACTTTTAAACTGTTCTTCTTGCTGACAAAGTTGAAATGTTTCATATGCATTTAGTTATTGACAAAAATTATTAACTTATCCGATATCACATTTTTAAACCCTGTATGGAAGGAAGCAAACAAAATAAATATAGGATCAAGTTAAGTAACCTTAATCCCACACACACTAGTTAATGCTTTTCCGAATTGCTCAAATCAGAAAAACGACTTTTTTTCTTTTATTCATATATTTCTAAATGAATAATAAATCTCTATATTTACCCAAATTCTGAAAGCTCAGAGACGCCGTTTGTTTTTGTGACGCCACAACATAAATGTTTTTGACGTCTCTTCACGAAATTTAACAAAAAGAAAAAAATCGTTGGGAAGTATGAACAATCTGTTTGCCGAAATTGCAAGGTCGATTATCTAAACCTTGCAAGTGTCCTGAAATATATAAAACTTGTACACAAATGACTAGAGGTCACAACATGGGCATTGATTTTTACAGCCATGAGGACCTGGCTGCTCTTAACATAAAGTTTAAGTTTTGGTGTATGGGATTGGGGTTGGAGGAGTTATTCGGAATCAAATGTTGACTATACATTAAAACGTTTATGCATAAGAATGTTCCTTCCCTTTGTAAATTACGAGATAAACAATATATTTATTCCAAGAAGTACATCTTTGTCAATATATATATATATATATATATATATATATATATATATATATATATATATATATATATATATATATATATATATATATATATATATATATATATATATATATATATATATATATATATTTTAATACTATGAATTTGTTATCATTTGGAATCAATAATGACAGATCCCTTTTTTTTAGAACATAGATTTTACTTGTCGCATAAAAACGTTATGTTACAAAGTTTGTGTTTTATATTTATTGAGTCAATTTTTTTATGATCGATAGATAGTGTCTGTGTCTGATTCTATTTTATATTTTATGCAGCCAGTGGTTGCTTGAGAAATTAATCAAATATAAAATGTTACTGTTTTGTTTGATTTCCGACGAGAAGTTTTCCGTACCTTCTCGACTATAGTCTCATTCAGACGCATGTCTTATCACGCGAATCGAAACAATTTGATGATTAAGACATTTTCATTATTTTTTTTGTTTACTTCCCGCGCGACAATTGATGGATGGCTTTATAAATGTATTCTTGTTTATTTTACATAAAGATTTCAAATAACTTTCAAGTACACATAAAAGACGTCAAATAATGACGTCATTGTCTTTGAGAATTCTAAGGAAAAGCTACAAAAAGGTACATACCCTTGAACACACACTTAAAAATATTTTTGAAACATTTGCGCAATGTTACGTTA